CCGATGATAGTTAATGGGATTTTTTTATTAAAAACCCTTGCAAATTTATTACTTGAGTTCTTGTTTTGCGTTACCATTTTTTTCTTGTGCTCGTCAATGATCTTGGGCTCCTTGTTTTCTCTTACTTTAATTATCTTATTAAATGTAGTATATTTAGAATATTTAATAAAGTGAAAATTTCTAGAATATCACATTTTGAAAATTTCTTTCCAAAACTATCACTATTTTTCAAATGTTCCAAAAATATCATCATTTATTCAATGTTCCAAAAATACCATAAACATAAAAAATGTTGAAAGGTTTGTAACTTAAACTTTTGGGTTTGGATTAACTATTGTAAAACTAGGGTATAGTTTTGAAGGGTTAGAATTTGGGTTTACGGTTTAGTTTTGAATGTTGAAAGTTAATTTTAATTTTATGGTATTTTTGGAACATTTACCAAATAGTGGTATATTTGGAATTTTTTAAAATGGTGGTATATTTGAAAATTAAACTTCAAAGTGTGGTATTTTTGAGAATTGTTGTTAAATAAATGGTGATATTTTTGTAACATTTTAAAAATTGTAGTATTTTTGGAAACTGTAACATCCGCAAACCAAAATGTCGAGTTTTTGGTAAGGTGTCGATCGACACGAGTAAATTGAACCAGGTTGGTTCGATTTTAATCGTCGGTTCGGCTCGGTTTAAGGGGAAACCCTAGGGCTCGGGTATATATAGGAGTCAGCCGATTTCTTTCAAGATTTTTAGTTTCCAGAAAGTTCCAGAGAGTTTTTAAGAGAGTTTGTGAGAGGATTTGAGAGAAAGAAAAAATCATTGTTGATTTTTTCGAGTTCTTGATCCTAAAAGCTCTTTTGTGTGTTTGTGAGGCTCTGGAGATCGTTTATGGTGGTTGGGATTCGCGCTAGAAGGGAGGATTCGGATTGGAGATCTGCGTTCTTCGTATTCTTCGCGTTTTTCGTGATTTTTCATCCCTTTTTCCTTCCAGATCCAAGGTAAGTGCGTGACCATGGGTTTATCTTGGTAAAGAAATTGATAGGATTTGATTGATTGTGTTTGTGGTTGGATTTCATATTGTTTTTGGTAGATTCCGTGCATGAGATCGATGCGATGCGTTCAGAAATCGATCCATGAGAGGATTGGTTCGATTCCTG